TTTATTTATTAACATAAAATTAAAATAACATTTCAGTACAAATAAAACATCACCACACCCCTGTGTCCCCTACAGGAAATGAAGCAGGAGCCATGCAGGAATGCTGCTTCCTGGCTTGCTCCTCCTGGCTTGCTCAGTCCACTTTCTTACACCACCCAGAACCACCTGCCCAGGAGTGGCACTGCCCACAGTGGGTTGAGACCTCCCTCCTACATCAACCATTAATCAGAAAATGCCCTATACTTTGTCCAGGCAATCGGATGGAGACATTTTCTCAATGAAGGTTCCCCCTCTTCCCAGATACGTCTAGGTTTGTTGTCAGTTGACAAAGGCCAACCAGCAAGTGTCCTTGCAAGAATAACCACCAGCCTCCTGTTTTTCTCTCATGTTGAGAACTCCCCGGGGAAAGGCTAGGACACAGAGAGAAGATAAATCTACAAGCGAGGGAAAGAGCAATCACAGAAACCAGATTTATGAGCATCTTGATTATGGACTTCTGGTCTTCAAAAGTATGAGAACCCAACCTGACCCAGGCTTTTCTGGATGTGTGCCTGTCCTTTCCTCATCCCCTCCCCGCTCCTAGCCAGGGTTCCAGGATCTAAGCCACATGGGATTCTGGCAAGCAGCATAAGCAGAAACAAGACAAGTGTCTGAAAGCTTTATAGGGTACACAGTTTCTAAAGGGTCTGTGGGTAGAACTGTGTTTCAGTAAAACCGTGTTAAGCGTAAACATATGGATGTAGGCATTTAAAAACAGTATTCTTAGAATGACTTCAAAGACATCACCAGACTGCCAACAAGGTCCATGATGCAAACCCAAACAAAAAACCAGACAAAAACAAAACAAAACCCCCGCCTCTGACCTCTTTCTGTAGTGCTGGTATGTCTCTCAACTTGTTTTAAACCAAAAACTTAACTAGGGCCCAATATAACCCGTCTATAACTTTAAACTATATTAGAATCTATTGTTTGATACAGTCATATGCAGAAGAACATTATACAGAATCCTCTAAGGCATTGTGATTTTTACCAGGCATTTGTATTGAGTATGAGCCACTAAATACCGCCATGTAATCTTATGTATAGACACCATGTTTAGTTTACATGTGCATGTACCATGTGCTGCATTATACCCCGTAAGTCTTTCAAATGAGAGCTAACAGCACAGCAAATTTGACAAGGAAATAAAATATCATTACTGATTGGTCAGGGTCCCTCCTGGGGAGCAGAGCTGCTGATGTCTGAAATGGAAACAACCCACACACTTAGTGACAACGTGTAGAGAAGATGGCCAGTGAGATTCACTAAACTGTTAGTGAAATGGAGAAGTTGGTGTTTCTCCTGTACCAGGCACTGTAAAGGGCAAGCGGTTTCTAAAGCATCCTAAGGAAACCAAGCAGCCTTTCTTGGAGAAAGAATAATTGACAGGCTCCACAGCTGGACCAGCTCACAAGGCCATGGACATCAAACACAAGGCAAGTGTCAGTGAGGATGTGGAGAAACCGGAATCCCAGTCTTGGGGTGAGAATGCAAAAATGATGTAGCCACTTGGGAAGCTGGAGATTCCACAAAAACTTAAATATAGAAACAGCATGTGGTCAAAGGATCTGACTTCTGGGCATTTATCCAAAATAACTGATGTAATATAGAGCTCAGGGAGAGATAACACTCTTTATAATAGTTAGGATGTAACCTAGCCTAAAAGTCACTACTTGCAATAGTTACAATAGTTAGGATGTGGCCTAGCCTAAGCGTTCATTGACAGATGAACACGGTATGTACATATATATCAAAATACTACTTAGTCTTGAAAAGGCAGGACATTCTACAATCTGTGAATCTACACAGTTGAATCTTGAGTGCGAACTATGTGAAATAAAGTCACAATCACAAAAAAAGACAAGTCACAATTCCATTCATAGGAGGTTTTTAAAATAATCAAATTCATAGAGCCAGAGGTTAGCAGGGACCGGGTGAAGGAGAAATGGGCAGTTAGTAATCACAGTTTCAGTCCAGCACGCTGAATAGACTCTGGAGGTCTGCTGCGCACTGTTGTGCACACACTTAAAAACTTTGTTAGTAAGAGTTGATTTCATGTTGTGTTCTAACAAAACAAAAACAACCGCTAAACCCAACCCCGAACAAAACGGGGCTGTACAAAATGCCGAACACTGAGAAATAAGCAGAGGCCAAGTTTGTATGAATGTGTGAGTAAAACAGCTACAGAAATCAGGCCGTGAAATGGTTCGGTGGGTAAAAGTGCTTGGCACCAAGCCTGATCACGCGAGTTCAGCTGCTGGAACGTACACCGTAGGAGGGCAGAACTGAGTCCCGCATGCTGTCCTTTGATCTCACACATGGGCGGTGGCCCTCAAATCCCTACACATATACACATGTAAATAAATAAATCAATAAAAATAACTGTAAACTTTGGTGGGAATTTCCCTTTGTACTGTATTGGCCTATGGAAATAAACTGCAGGAAATAGGCAATATGTAAGAGTAGTATTACCTGCCTCCAATAGGACACACCCACACTAATGAAAGGGGATGAGCGGCAGCAGCAGGTGCATGGCAGACGCCATTTAATGCACCTGAAGAAAAGTGGGCAGCCCAACCAACTCTGCAAGCACATGAAAGGCCGGTGGGTTTAAATTGGGACTTACTTTTGATTATCGGTAGGATTGTTTTAAATTTTGAAAGGCACTTGACCATAGAAACAGGACATTCATAAATATTCTCATCCTTTGGACCCATGATTCTTTTATGGGATTCTGTCCTAAGTCGTAATTCCAAATGAGGAGACTCTGCATAAAGATGCTTCTCACAGCATTGCTTCTAATACAGAAAAAAATAGTTTAATAATCAGGAAACAAGTCATTGCATACACCTTGTGTTATTACCAGGCTGCAGAGACGGCTCAGGGGTCAAGAGCACTTGTTGCTCTTCCAGAGGACCAGAGCACTGCCCTAGCACCCAGTTCCAGATCCCTCCTCTGGCCTCAGGGGGGAACTCGCACCTACGTGGGACACACGCTCACGCTCACAAAGACATGCACATAAAAATAAAATCTTCTTCTTCTTTTTTTTTTTTTTTGGTTTTTCGAGACAGAGTTTCTCTGTGTAGCTTTGCGCCTTTCCTGGAACTCACTCGGTAGCCCAGGCTGGCCTCGAACTCACAGAGATCCGCCTGCCTCTGCCTCCCGAGTGCTGGGATTGAAGGCGTGCGCCACCACCGCCCGGCAAAAATAAAATCTTAAAAAATATGCTGTCACTAAAAGTTAAGGCAAAGTAATAGCGTGGTCTATATAGAGAGTTCTAGTACAGCCAGGAATACACAGAGAGACCCTGTCTCAAGAAAACAAAAGGCAAAAAATAATACAAGAATTTACAGTAGATTTTAAAAAGTTGAAAAATGAACATAGCTATGGTTTTCGTGTATCTGATGTGTGTGTGTATTCTTGTGTGAATTTGAGCATGCACAGGGAGGTCAGAGATCAAGCTAGAGTGTGTGGGTCCTTCCACTTGACCTTGATTTGGAAAAAGGCTGTCTTTGCATTTTCCCTCTGTAGGCCAGGCCAGCCGGCCACTGAGATTCCAGGGGTCCCCCTGTCCCCGCCTCTCACCCCCCGCTAGGAGCTTTGGGTTTCCTGTTTGGGCATTGCTTTTCATTTGGGCAGCACATGTTGGACGTCCAGGACTGGAACCACAGAGAGCCTGCCTTCGGGGAACTTAGCGTCTGCGTGGCGGGTGGCAGAAAACGAGATCCACCAACTAAACCCTGCAATAGGTGCCGGGCGCTCGGCAGAAGGAGAAAACGAGGACGGGAGAATCCACCGGGCAGTGCACGCACTCCGCAACGGGAGCGCTGGCTTCGGGAAGGAAGGCGTGGGAATCCCGCGCCTACCTGTCCGTCGGGGCGGGGTCTGGCGGCCAAGGCCGCGCTCGGGACGGGGACGGAGACGCCGCGGGCGGACGGGCGGGTGCAGGTCGGGCACGCGCCTACGAGGGGAAGCGGGTCACGTGACCCGAGGAGGCGGGGTAAGTCAGCGAACGGAGTCCGGCCCGGTGCTCGCCCGACACTGCAAGACGGGCGGGGCCGAGAACCAAACAAACGCAGCGTCTCCCCCGAGCGGCAGGGGGCGGGGCCGACCAGCCGAGCCGAGTCGAGCCGAGCCGAGTCCCGAGCGCAGGCCTTCCGCCGCCGGGTTGATCTTACGGTTGCTGGTCGCTGTGGCCGCGCGGTCTGCGGTCGGGCGAGAGAGCCGCGCGCTGCAATGGCGACCTTTGTGAGCGAGCTGGAGGCGGCCAAGAAGAACTTGAGCGAGGCGCTGGGGGACAACGTGAAACAGTAAGAGCCTCTGGGGCCGGCCTCGGGGCCTGTGCGTGGGGCGTGCTCCTGGCCCGGGGCTGCCGTAGTCCCTGGACTCCCTCACCTCCCGGAGGCCTGAGGCGCCTTGCGGCCGCCGCGGCTCCCGGCCAGGACTCGAGGTGCTGGAGGACCATCTCTCCGGGCGCCCCGGAGACCGGGGGATGCCCGCGTGGGGCAGGAGCTGCGTCCTGGACCCTGGGGAGCCGGCGGGGCTGGGGTGCGCCGGGGCGCGCCTGGCCGGGGGGGTCCGGAGGGCTTCCTGGAGGCGGAAGCCTGCGGTGCTCCGGGGCCAGCGGGGCACGTTGAGAAGCGCTTTGAAAGCGGGTTCGGGACAGACCCCAGTTGCAGTCGGTCACCCAGCACCTCAGCATCCACAGGGACGGCAGCCTGGCCGGCTGTAGGTCGCCTTTCCCAGCTCTCGAAACGTAGTATCTAGTCCTGCAAACCGGTGTGCGATCTGCACGGTTACGACTCCCATCTGATAGACAGGACACCGACCCCAGAGAGGTTAGTTGTTCCCCAAAAGCCAGCGGCCAAGGATGGGACCAAGGCTGTGTGTGATGCTGCGCACGGGTTGTAAAGGACCCCCGGGCGCCCAGCCAGACTGTCAGCGGTGACTGGAACCGAGTGACAGCTCCGTAAGCTGCAGCCTGCCGCAGCCCGAGGAAGTGCCTCCGTCCTTTGGGGAACCTCAACTCCGGCAAACCGGGCGTTGATGCAGAAAATTGTCTAGAGCAGGCGTGAAGCAGAGCTGGCGTCTGTTAATAGAAAGGCTCTTAAGGAAGCGCACTCAAGAGCGTGGGCGCGGGCTTCTCACCAGAGCCCCGCTTTAGTAGAAGGCTTTAAAAAAATCATTATTATTACTTGTAGATTGTAAGCACCAGAGTTAAAGGAGATGCTCAGGGAAAGGATATGGTGTGGGTGTAGGCTTCTCAAGGGAGAGTCACAGCTAAGTGTCTTAGCATATGCATTTTGGCAGTTGTCTTTTTCTCTTTCTTTTTTTGTTACAATTTTCTTTCTCTTTTGGCTGGTGAGTTGGACAGGCTTATATCTGATAAAGTAAAAAACCAGGAGCCATTAAAGTTGCACAAGGGGTTTCTGTTGGGATGCCTAGAGAATTGCAGGTTTTCAGCCTGGAAGGGAGAAAGAGGTCTTAAGGCAGATATTGTTGTGTTGGAATTTTTGATTTCAGCTGGCTGGGGTGAGGGGCTCTTTTTCCTTTTCATGTTTTCAGTCTGCTCATCCTGCCTCAAAACCTTCACACCAAGCTCCATGGGCAGCCAAATTGTATCACAGAAGGACTCTCTGAGATGCAAGGAGGAAATTAAATTAAAAAAATATTTTAATAGGTAAAAATGACAGGTTTTTTTGGCCTTCATTAGAACGGCTTTATGCTTTTGTAATGCTGAGTGGTAAAACTTTAAAAAGCACACCAGGGGGATTGTCTCCTAGCCATACACAGTGCTCACAGGATTTTGCAAGTGAATGGTCTTACATGGTGCTTAATTTGAAGAACATGGCTTGTGTATATGATTGCCTTTCACTCTGGCTAGCTACTGTACCTTCCAGAATCACACATGCATCAGTCACACGGTAAATTCAGGGCCGACAGAAATAGTTTTGAAGTTAGCAGCTTTCCCCTGTTCCATTTGTAAAGACCAGCTCTCCACGTGCTGTTAGTCAAATATGGGTGCTGAATCTAAATTGTATTGCTTTGTAATGTGAAATCCACAGGTCTTTGTGCCAGGGATACAGTTCATGATGAGGTATGGGATTGTATGGGATTGTTCTACATTTCTGTCTCCAGTCTTTGTTCATTTTTAAAAACCGGCTTCTTGGTTAAGCTTGTTTTAAAAGCTTGTTTCTTATATTTCCTCCTAAGCAGTTTGCTTTTCACTGAGTGGTGTGACCATTTAAATGTGTGACCATTTAAATTTGATCCTTGGTAGTGGGTAAATGAAGCTTATACAGAGTGCATGGAGGTGAACTGTTTACTATTTATCCAGCAGTCCAAATGTTAAACCAAGGACTTCCTGTTTCTCATATCCAGGAACATTTTCTTTTTGGTGGTGTTAGGAACTCAGTTTGTCTGCCGATTAGATTAGAACTTGAGCTTATCTGAAGGGGAGCATGGCACCCAGAGTAATAAAGAGCACCGGTGACCACTCTCCTCCCTGGAAAAGTGCAGTTGGGAATGAAGACCCCATGTAGGGTTCTGGAGGGCAGCCTCTAAAGAGATGACCATGAGAAGGGAAAGGCGCAGCTGGGCCTGTTTGGAGTCAGCCCTGAGTCCACACCAGCCTCCTTTAGGGAGAAAGGATGTTTGTTGATCTTCTGCCTCTTGAGTGTGTTCATTTGCTAGGCCTGCTGTGACAAAATGCTGCCAGCTTGTTGCCTAAACCACAGAGATTGATTTTCTCACAGCTCTGGAGGTTGTAAATCCAAGGCCAGCATGTCCAAGAAGGGGGGTGGGGTCCTTCTGAGACTTCTGCGGCCTCTCTGCAGGAGTCTGGACTGTCTGCCCCCTTCTACAGTGCTGACTAGACAGACAAGCTACGTGCCAAGATACTGGGTCTTCCCCGAGGAACTCTGGGAGGCTTCCCACAGCTCAGCCACTGACACTGGGGTTTATAAACTTTTCTTCCCTGGGGGTTTGGACAGCTCGAGTGAACCCGGGGGCAGAGGCAGAAGTGTGCGGTTTTTAATAATAGTCTTTCCTTCTGCAGATACTGGGCCAACTTAAAGCTGTGGTTCAAGCAGAAGATCAGCAAAGAAGAGTTCGATCTAGAAGCCCACAGACTCCTCACACAGGACAATGGTAGGTCTTCATTTCTCCAAGTTTCCCCAGGTTTACAATAAGGACTTCTGGTTTTGATGGTGGATCATCACATAATCTTAATATTGGTTTAAAAAGTTAACTGTAAAGAATGGGAGAGAGAGGGGGAACATTTAAAGTATTCACAAGCTAGGCCAATGTTTTCCTTGTGTTGAAAATACTGTCTCACTTGTGACAACCTTCCTTTTTTCAGTTCATTCTCACAACGATTTCCTCCTGGCCATCCTCACACGTTGTCAGATTTTGGTTTCTACACCAGGTAAGGGAGTGGGAATGTTTCCAGTGTGGATCACTTGGCAAAGCAGGGCAGCATTGGGACTTGGCCTCCTTGTCAGACGCTGCTCAGGTTTGCAAAGGAAATGGTCTCTGAATTACCCAGAACCAAAAAAAAAAAAGTTATGTAGGTGACAGTTACTGTACACACGTGCACATGCGCGCACCCTTAACTGATGATTTCCTCATATTTACGCCTTTTACTCCCCACTCAGCTTGCTGCATTATAGGTGAGGTAACGAGAGGGTGGAGTCAGGCTTCAGAAGATGAAGGCAGGGAGGAGGAGCATGGGCAGCAGGAGGGGACCTTCCAGAGGCTGGGATGAAATCTATAGAAACCTGGGCTTCTGCTGGGCTTCCGCAGAACAGCTCTGGGAGGGAAGAGCTCACCTCGGCAAGTCATCAGTAGGAAGGCTGGCGAGGACTGAGTGTGACCGGTTAGGTAGAACTTGTGGGTGCTAAAGAGCACATCACTTGTTTATACACTTGTCCTTCAGCCAGTTTTAGTAAGGCAAAGGTTAAGTGAGTGCTTTGAAAACTTCCCTTGTGAGACAGCTGTCTGGGACCTTGTTAAAAACTGAGGTTCAGGGGCACTTCCTGCCTCTGTAGATTGTCAACTTTTTTTTTTTGATGATTCTGGATATCCTAAATTAATATTATTTATTGAGTTTGGCATGTTAGGTAACTTAATCTAAACAGCCACCCTTCAGGGTGTTGTTAGCCTCTTTAATAGATACGAAAACAGACATCAGAACAAAACAAAAACTTACAAATTTGCCCACGGCCAGTCTACTTAAATGGTAGCCTTGGCTCAGAAGCGGTCTTCAGTGCTGCGGGAACGTCTTTCTCTGGGTCATCTTCCTCGCTGGGTGCCCTTGCTCCATTTGCCGTCTCCACAGCAGCTTGCTCCTGAGCTCTCTGTCTGTTCTGCTTCCTCAGGTCCCTGCAGTCAGCCCTTCTGCTGGCGGCGGCGGCAACACCTAGGGTCCAGTTTGAATTGCAGGAGTAGGTTTCTTTAGGGAATCACTTAACTGTAGGACCCAGGTTATTCTCCTACCCAGGGCATTACTAACCACCCCCCAACACCAAAACAGAACAAAACAAAGACTCTTAACCCGTTAAATGGTTACATCTGAGGCTGGGGAGATGGCTCAGTGGTTAAGTGCACTGGGTGCTCTTGCAGAGGACCAGTTCAGTTCCCAATACCCACACATGGCAGCTCACAGTCATCTGTCACTACAGTTTCAGGGGATCTGATGCCCTCTCCTGGGCTCTGAGGGCATCGGGCATATTTGTGAGACACATATGAACATGCGGGCAAGCACTCATACTCATAAAATTAAGAATAAATAAACCTTAAAAACATGGCCGGGCGGCAGTGGCGCACGCCTTTAATCCCAGCACTCGGGAGGCAGAGCCAGGCAGATCTCTGTGAGTTCGAGGCCAGCCTGGTCTATAGAGCAAGATCCAGGATAGGCACCAAAACTATATAGAGAAACCCTGTCTTGAAAAAACAAGAAACAAACCTTGGTGTAACCTGTTACTACAATTATGAGTATTATTTTTTCTTTTAAGATGATTTTGGTGGTAGGGCTGGAGAAATGGCTTGTCAGATAAAAACACATAATGCTCTTGAAGAGGACCCAAGTTTGGTTCCCAGCACCCATGTCAGATGGCCAGATGTCTTACAGCTTCCTGTAACACCAGTTCCAGGGAATCGAAAGCCCCCAGCCTCCTCAGGCACCTATAATCATGTACACATTACCTCCCCTTCCCTCCACCCTGTCACACATACACACAGAAGTACATATTTAAAAAAACTTTAAAAACTGTTTTGGAGGAGTACTTCTTTGAAATTACTATTTTGTGAGTTGCCTTCCTTTACTTTTATTTTTAGCCAGGTTTTGAAAAAGAGATACATACATGTGTCCAGTTCACCACCTGGGCTACAACTCCCCCTAAAAACATTAACTAAAAATATGGGGCTGGGGAGATGGAAGCAGAAAGACCTGAACTTGGTCCTCTGCGGTCCATGTCAAAGCCAGGCCTGGCAGCATCTGCCTGTAATCCTCTGCCCATCATCTCCATTGGGAAGGCAAAGAAGAGAGGAGCTTGCTGGCCAGCTGGTTCAGCCGGCATCCAGCTCTAGGTTCAGTGAGAGACCCTGCCGTAAAAATAAGGTGGAGAATTGACTGAGGAAAATACTGGACATTCACCTCTGGACTCGAGTGCACACAAAACACCCAAACCCAAACACACACACACATGCTTGAACATATTAAAGGAAAAAGTAAAAAGTTTGCTTTCCTCAAAAAAAATAATTTTAGTTATAATTAGAAAAGCAATGATTTGAGAGCAATAATTTCTTTCTTCTTCTTTTTTTTTTTTTTTTTTTTCCCCAAGACAGGGTTTCTCTTTGTAGTTTTGGTGCCTGTCCTGGATCTCACTCTGTAGCCCATGCTGGCCTTGAACTCACAGAGCTCCTCCTGGCTCTGCCTCCTGAGTGCTGGGATTAAAGGCATGTGCCACCACCGCCCTGCTGAGAGTTATAATTTCCTTTACAGAGTAGAGAAGATTCAGATTTGAGTTTCATTATTTAAATTTCATTACCTGACTAGTCCATGCTTTTAATCCCCAAATGAAAAAAAAACAATAGCTGTTGTCATTTTCCGCTCAGGTTATTGTCTTTTTCACTGGGCTGTTGTTTTTCTGTCTTGTAGAAGGTGCTGGATCTTTGCCCTGGACGGGGGGCTCTGCAGCCAAGCCTGGAAAACCCAAGGGCAAGAAAAAGCTGTCTTCTGTTCGTCAGAAATTTGATGTAAGTAATTCTTCAATAGAGCTAGCAACTATGGGGTACTAGTGTGATAAAGTAGCTGTAATTTTTTTGAGGTGGGGAGTGTTAAGAGAAGGCTTCTGTGTGTAGCCCTGGCTGTCCTTGAACTTGCTTTATAGACCAGGCTGGCTGTGAACTCAGAGATCTGCCTGCCTCTGCCTCCCAAATGCTGGGACTAAAGGCATGTGCCACCATATGTGGTTAAGTAGCTGTGATTTTAAGTATCACCAGCAGAGTTGAAAAACATGATTTAGGAAGAAAAAGTACTGGGAGATTGTAAATACATCTTCCAATGTATTCTTGTCAGCGTTTGCATGGACGTGTTGTGATTAGCACTTCAGAGTCCCCAATGATTGGAAGCTGGGCTTGTGTTCTCTCCCGGTCAGGGGTCAGCCTGGAGCCTCTGGTAGGCTTCTGTTGATAAAGGCTGTGCTCTGAGCCTTTAGAGATCAGTATGGAGACGATGAAGCATATGGTTATAAACTTGTAAACCTGTTGGAATATATGTTTTCAGGTAGGAAGAGATGTTTCCTAAGGTTTGTCATCCTAGGCTTGCCTGTTCTATGCTCTGTGTCAATAACATTACTCAACCTGGGGGTTCTTCACTGTCTCTAAGACATACCTGGTTTGAAATATGTTGGGTATGGGACAGCTTTATACTTAGGAAATGGAAAAATGCCAGTATTATTTTAAAATACATACATGGAGACTGTCTCCACTGCAAATTCAAAGGTACCAGGAACAACTCCAGTGATGGTAGGGTATATAGATTTCATAGGAATGCTGAATTGTTTACAAATTGAACAAAGGCTGTGTGTTAGGAATGTAAGCAAACAGTCACAATAAAGAGCTGCTTCTGTCCTATAGCATTAGCTCAAATACTTGTCAGAACTATCATTTGATTAGTTAGGCTTTGTAAATCCTAACTGAAGCATTAATTATATGTCTATACTTTCAGAATCTGCTTACAATTAAACTTCTGTGACTTTTCTATGTAGTCTCTCCCTATTGTTATTTTTAGCATTAGGCCACACATTTTGTGAGCACTAAGGTATTAATTGAATATAATAAATGGCTGTAGGCACACAGCTGTAATCCCAGCTTTTGGGAGTCTGAGGCAGGTGTATTGTGAGTTTGAGGCCTGTCTAGGTTATTAGGTATAGCAAGACTGTTTGAAAAAGCCAAACAACAGTCTGCTGTGTGTACAGCCATTGCCTCTTAACTCACCATGTAACAGGTGTGAAGTTATCATCATTTGTGCTGGACTTACTTTTTGTAGTTTTGGTTGTGAGCCTAGCCTTTCATGGCCGAGCCATCTCTCCAGCCCACGATTTACTTTTTACTTTGAAAATTTTAATACCCTTTGGTAAATTGTGGTGGTCTTGATTTGTAGGTCCCAATTTTCGGTAGATTTTTTTTTCTGTTTGTCTTGTCATTTGCTATTGGAGTGAATAATTCTGAAGTTTTCTTACTTAGCATAGATTCCAGCCTCAGAACCCCCTCTCTGGAGCTCAGCAGTTTGTGGCAAAGGATCCCCAGGATGATGAGGATTTGAAACTCTGTTCACACACAATGATGCTTCCCACACGAGGTCAGCTTGAGGGGAGAATGATCGTAACTGCCTATGAGCATGGGCTGGACAATGTCACCGAGGAAGCGGTTTCTGCTGTTGTCTATGCTGTGGAGGTGGGTTTGCTTTTGGTAGAATTAACGACAGATAATGATTGTTAGGAGCTTGGGTGTGTTTAAAGCTGATATTGACAGAAAGGAACTGAATGTCACTCACGTTTCATATCTGTCATCATTAAGAGAAATACTTCATACTTCACAACCAAAGAATTTGCCTTTGGTTGACTGGTTTTTCCAGACAGGTTCCTTGCAGCATCCATACTTCTGCTTATCTCTTGTTTTGTCAACACAGGAACAGTTTTTAAGCAAAAACAGAAATCAGAAATTCTAGTGGTTCAAGTCACTTGTGTTTGAGGTAGTGCTGCATTTAAAGAGTGTCAGGTAGGCATCTGACCAGTGACACTGTTTGACCCACTGTTTCACTTAGTTATTTGATAAAATATACATTGCACTGATGCCAGACAGTACTCAAATAACTAGAGATGATTTTCTGGGTCTCATTTTCCTCATAGTCATTTCTGAGATAGTAGCTGCACTAGAAACATTGAATGAGTTCTGCATGAAAACCCATATTAAATTGCACAAGGGTGTCTTGATAGAAGAAAGTCATATTCGTGTAAGTGAAATGCCTGGCCTGATCCTGGCTCCCCCATGCTGACATATACTGGGAGTGTTGGATTTTCATGTTTCCCCACCAGTTCTAATGTGCGTGGCTCTTCTAAAGGTGAAGAGAATTGAATAGACATGTACAATTCTCTATCTGTTTGTAGGGCTTTCGAGAGCAAAAGCTCTTGCAATGGTTTTGGTAACCAGTGAATACCAGATCTTAAAACTTTTGTCTCATTTTAAGTCACATTTCAAAGTCTTAATTTGCCTTAAAAAAAAAAACAAAAAAAAACAAAAAACTTACTTTACCGGAAAATCATTTCTGAGAAGCGTCAACCTAAGGGAAACGAAGTGCAGTGCATGTGGAGTGGTGGAGCACTCGCCTCCCACGTGAGGCCCATGTGATGCTCGGACCCAGCACTGCACACTGAACTCAGACCCACTTCCAAGAGCAACAGTGCCTGGAGAACAGCCTCTTTACAGAGCGGGGTGAAGAGAGCACCTCCTCTCACCCGCCTCCCCCACCCCCTCCTCCACCTCCTCCTCCACCCCTCCCCCATGCCCGCTGTACTGGCTTGGGCTCTTTCCACAAGTATTTCTGTCATTCTCCATCATCAAATGCCAGGACCATTGGAATGGAAGGACATTTGACAATGGAAGTTTTATAGTTTGCTTTTGAGGATCTCTTACTATTTTTCTTTTGTTTTCAGAATCACCTCAAAGATATCCTGACCTCAGTTGTTTCGAGAAGGAAAGCTTACCGGGTACGAGATGGCCATTTTAAATACGCCTTTGGTAGTAACGTGACCCCACAACCGTACCTGAAGAATAGTGTGGTGGCTTACAACAACCTGGTTGAAGGGTGAGTGGCTTCTTGTACCCTTGCATGGGTCCTTGGCTGCTTGGTCACTGACCTTATGTGAGAGGCCACTGTTAAAGAATTGGCTATTGTGTTTCTGCAAGACTTGACATCAGCACAGTTATTTCTTGAGTTGCATGCTTTAGAGTGAATTATTTTGGTACTTTTTTAAAACTGGAGGTGATTGATTGCTTCTCCCTTTCTGATGTGGGATGGAGTAGCTCCTCAGGTAGCATTTCCTGATGGTGGCCTCTGCCTGGTGAGGAGGTGGCTTGCCCATGGTGGGAAGAGGAGGAAGAGTGGTAGATGTTTGTTGTCCATGGCCTCATCTGATGCTCATGGCTGTAGCACAAAGTCATGACCTGCGCCCATGTCTTTTGAGTGTTCTCGGCATCGTGTTGTACAGATCTATGTCCTCAATCCACTCAGGGCTCCCAAGACCATCTTCAGTTCTAAGCCACTCTTTCATGAGTTGGTTCAGGTTACCTTTATCCTTTCTGCTTTCCCCACAAAACTTTGTGTTAATTTTAACCGTTTGGAAAAGAAATAGCAGTGGTCTTCCTCGTGGCTAGTGCCGTGGCTGCACTTCAATAAAGACTGGGTTTCACCTGTCCAGTTATCTGGCTAGTGGAGGACGGGAGGAAAGAGGAGACATACGGGATCAAGGAAACCGTTGAGGACTAGGAGGCTGGCAGGGTGGCTTTGGTGAAAGTGACCGGAAGGGGGCAGATGTAAGGGCACTGGCAGCGTGTGGAGGAGGTGGGATGGTGGCCATCCCAGGGCTCTAGAGACATTGTGACGAGTGAGGGTCATCTCAAATTGGGGTCCCTGTTTAGGTTTCCATCTGTGGTGAGTTACTACCCGATCCTCATTCAGACATACCTGTTTGGGATTGTTTCATATTGAAGTCCTTCTCCAGGGAAAAAGGGAAACAGTGCTTCCTTGTAGTGGGGTGTGGGGAGTTGTCTCTGATGTGGCATTGCCCTGGAGCCCTCCACTCCTGTCCCCGTCCCCAGGGAGCCATTACTCTAGCGGAGCGGCTTCCACCTGATGCTTTAACCCCCAGATGCTGCCCCACTCTGCTCTACCTCCTTGTGTACTGCTGGCCACTGTGTGGGTGTCTGTACTGCTGGGAAAGCCTCGCCCGACTTCTCAGCTTGTCCCTGTTTGGCCTGTTTGGGGAAGTTAGCAAGGTCTGGGTGACGTTTTTCCTGTGCTCCCATTTTGCTGCTACTTTTCTTGGTGTTTATTTTTTAAGCTTGCTTTCAGTACAATTTGTCTTCATAGTTTTTCCATTTCATATACCTTTAGTTACACCGCTTTTTGTTTTGTTTATATGTATGTGTGGTTTTTCCAAACTAGAAACTCTTTAGGGGCAGGAAACAGTTTGGTTCACTATCCTGAGCTAAGTAAATATATTAGTATTGTGGGAGGAGGGAGTAAATATGGCTACATTACATTGTTTCCAGCCTGACAGATACACGGAGCCTTTTGGAAATGAAAATCATGGACTCTTTATGTTTATGGTGGTAGGTTTCTGATTCATTTAGAGATATTCAGAATGGGGTGTGTTCCAGCAAGCCTCTCTATTCTAGGTGTTCACTGGTCTCCATTCTAGGTACTGAGAGTATTTCCTTAAACTCTTCTTTTGCAGCCCTCCAGCCTTTTCTGCTCCCTGTGCCAGTCAGAATCCAGCTTCTCAGCCACACCCTGACGATGCTGAACAGCAGGCCGCATTCCTGTTGGCATGCTCTGGGGACACTCTACCTGCGGCTTTGCCTCCGGTGAACATGTATGACCTTTTTGAAGCCCTGCAGGTATTGGCTCCTGCTTTACCCAGATTTATTGACCCATTAATTAATATGAATCTACAAAGATACTAGCTTTTCCACTTTTTGACTTGTTTTTACAGTCAACAGTAGTAGGCTCATTTTTAAATCCCAAACCCTGTAGTTCCTTTAAAATTCTCTCATACTCTACCTCTCATTAAAACAAACAAATATCACACTCCAAATAATCTCATAGTTCCTTATTATTTTCAGGGTTTTTTTTTTTTTTTTTAAATTTTAAAATTTAAATTGCCATTGTGTGTATGCATGTGGGTGCGATGTGCCATGGCTTGTGTGTGGTCAGAGGACAACTTTGTGGGGTTATTTCTTTCCTTCTACTTCTACTTTATCTGAGTTCCAGAAATTGGAATCATGTCATCAGGCTTGCATGGCAATTATCTTTTAACTGCTGAGCAGCCCACAGAACCATTTAGTTTTCTTATTATCTGACTTGGGATTCACTATGTTCTGATTTAAAGTTTATAGGGTACCTAAGTCATGAGATGTTTTTAAAAATATAGTTTTGAATGCTGGAAAAATAAGTCTACTGAAGCATAATAGAAAACATGTCATTTTAAAATCACAGGTACACAGGGAAGTCATTCCTACACATACTGTGTATGCCCTTAACATTGAAAGGATCATCATGAAGCTTTGGCACCCTAATCACGAAGAGCTACAACAAGACCAAGTCCACCGCCAGCGCCTGGCGGGGAAAGAAGGACTTTTGCTCTGCTAAATTAGGATGTGAAGATTTGGGACCATCGCCAAATTCATTGGTTGCTGAAAATGGAATGCTTTTGAGTCCACATTTCAAAACTGAAGTGTATAATGTATGTATAACCTTTCCTATGGAAATGTGACATTGAGTGCATTTTGTGTTGCTACTGTGAAGCCATTAATATGTGTCTGACTGATGATGACCTGTGTGTCTGTGTCCCCAGGTGTAGGAGCAGGCATTGTTCTGTGCCTGAGTAGGGGTAAGGCATATACCGAGGTGTAGTATCTCTGGTCTGTTGGTAAGATAGGTGACATCCTAGAATAATGATGCTGTTGTAGCTTAGTCCCCATGATTAGCAGGACTACTGTGTGTTCAATGGTGTATGTTCTGTATCTGACAGTAACAAATCTGCTTTCCCTGAAGAACTAGACTCTGCATATTGGTGGAATAACCTAGTGTTAGTCAGAATCTCCTTTAGTGACCAGGTAGCAGCTAGACAAGTTCCCAGACAACCCACTGTTTTCACTCCGGAGAACAGGACTTGGATATGTGGTTCTGTTTTTGCATTTAATATTCTAGCCCAGTTCTTAGAATGCAGTTATCCTTATAGTGTTTTCTTGTAATTCAGTTGCTTTAGCATTAGTGTGTCTAAAGGCTGATGGACAAGCTTGTTAATCCTATAGAAATGTTTTCATGAAATCTTACAAACTGCTAATTTTCGTATTTCTACAAAATGTTTTATTCTTTCAAGTGGTACTATGAACTTACATTTGACAGTGTTACTGGTAACCAACTTGTTTTAAAGCTATGTTGCTTTTCATTCATGTAGTATTGATGGATAAATTAGATGTACAGATGGGTTTTCATAGGCCTAAACAGTAGATACATGTGAATATTTTTGTGTGTTCCTATATCTGGATCTGTGGATTTTGTTTTGTATTTTAAATGTAACAAATAAACATTTTGGGAGAAAACCTTTGTCTGTTTATTCAAATAAGAGATAAGGAATTACATATGTATGTTTTTATATATGTTTATATAATGTATATATTGGGTTTTTTGAGACAGGGTTTCAGTGTAGCCTTTGTTGTCCTGAAACACTCTGTAGACCAGGCTAGATTCAATCTGCCTGTCTGCTTCCAGAGTGCCTGGATTAAAGGCTTGTGCCACCACTGCCCAGCTAGATGAGGAATATTGTCTTCCATAGAAACAGGAAAAGTCTAGCCATATGAGATCTTGGCTCAAACTTCAAAAGAATGTACTAGGCAAGTGACAAGGCGTCCTGTTAAGGTATACATTTAGTAGTGTGTGGCCTAAAATTTAAAAAAACAAAACAAAAAAAAAAAAAAAACAGCTTAAGCTGTTCTTGGCACAAACTTTTTCAAGTGTTGGGTGATACTCAAGAACTTTTAGGGGTTGAAAGGGTTTGGAGTGATAGGTCTTGTTTTGGACTGCTGCTATATGAAGGGCTTGTGCTGCCCAAGTGATGGTGTGTGTGTGTGTGTGTGTGTGTGTGTCTGGCAATGGAGAATTCCTATGGGTTCTGTGTAGCAGAGGAAGTGTGTTTGTGCGTGTGTCCCCAGCAATGGAGAATTCCTATACTTCGTCACCTCTCTAGTAGGACCACAAACTCCAGATTCATAGCAATCACTTTAACTATTTTGAGGTCTATACTCAGGTCTGTCTTCTATGCCAGTTATCAAGAGATTTTCTGAAGTGGGGAGATGGGGTTGAGGGTAAGGCAGGGACATAATAATGATTAGGATATTCAAGAGTTCCTGCACAAGATTTCAATTTTTGTGTCCCACCAAAGGCCGACTCCATTTCTGATACCTCTGCCAGTCACGAGTCTATGTGCAGTCTCCTATAATTAAGAAATTATAAACACACATATTGCCAAGGATCACTTAGGAACAATACGTGGAAGAAGAAAGCTGTTAGAAACTGGGTAATTTCAGAGTTACTTCCACGTTGTTTCTACCCTAAGGTTTTTAGTCATGGGTTCAGCCACAGGTGACTGCAACAGGTCTGCCCTGCTTTACTAGGCACACCAGGATTCAGCACATAGTAGCTCTCTCTGCCCTTCTGTCATCCCCTGCTGTGACCAAGTCCACCCAACACTTCTCCATGTCTAACAGCACACAAGAAAGGCCTGTGAATATGATGCTTTCACTTGAGAAGTTTATGAAAAAAAGGAACGATTTCTGTTTATCAACTTGTTAGGACATTCTGACTCATCCTTAACTTTTAGGATGTCCTTTTATGACTGTGACACCGCTATGTCCTTCTTAAGACTAACACTGCTAAAACATGACTTACTGGGGAAACCCCTCCAACTTTTAAGAACTAGTTTAAAACCTCACATTCCCCTCAATTAAAAAAAAATGTAACAGTACACCCCATGAAGACTTTGCTTCAAAGGTGTAATACAGTGCTACCAAATCTGATGAATCAAGTATAGGCAATAGCTTAAATTTTTTTAACTTAAAAAATTTAAAAACTTTTGACAATATGGGTAGATAAATAAAACCACCAGAGCCTATTGTCTTTGTTATCAAAGTTTATTACTGGGATCAGTTTCTATCTAGTAGGGAGTACAGTCTCAATGTGCTATGGTAATTCTTGGTAACCGTTATTCTGCTAAACAGCTGTACTGGGCTCTGTTAGGCATAGATCATCTTAACTCAGTGGAAGAAAGCACCCAGAAGACCCTGACAGCAGAACCACCACTCTAGGAAAGTTCCAGTGCTATGTAACCTGTAAGGCATCTCAGCTGATGGTGGTGTTATGGAATGAAACAGAAGTTGTCTATTTTCTACTCTTTGTCAAGATACCTGGCTTGTGTGGAAACCCCAACATGGCATCGTTTAAGCTCGAAAGCAAGAGAAACAGAGTTGGGAAAGAGGACAGTGGAAGGAAGAAACCACCACCACCACCACCACCGATGGTATGGAGCATAACATGCCATGTGGGGATGACAAGACAGTGCAGACAAAGCTGACGGCAAACAAAATGTCAGTCCATTCAGATCTCAGAAGTCAGGGTCATGTGTTTGGAACTCTGACAAACAGGGCAGCTGTAATGACTGGTTAAAACAGATCAGAAAAGTGGACGGCAAACACAAGAATGAGTACCTGAGTAGAAACTGGTAAAGATGCCCAGAAGCGTACAGCGTCCACATGAGCTGATTGGAGGAAGAAGTGGTCACAGCAACCTGTTGGCCAGATTGAGTATTTGGAATGACAGATCTAGCAATGGCTTTGCCTACGAGGTTCTGGTAGAACTTTTGCAGCACAGATAGCTTTGAAGGAATGTTTTTCGTAACAGTTGACTTAGGCAGGAATGCAAATTACTATTGTGGAAACACTAGTCGGTGACTCACACCTGGTCTTGTAGAGTTGAAGTCTAAAAGCAGCTGTAGCTCAAGGCCCAAACCCTCCCACTGCCCTTTTGATAAAAATATTAAAGAAATTAACCAAGTAAGTACGGGTCAGTGGGCCCTGTTCTGTGTAGACAGCAGATGACTTAGAGACTTGGCTTGTGTACCAAAGGGTCGCCTCATTAAAGAGGGTTGTTCTGTGTAGACAGCAGATGACTTAGAGACTTGGCTTGTGTACCAAAGGGTTGCCTCATTCAAGAGGGTAACGGGGAAAGCAGGGCCATTCAATAAGACCCGAAAAAGATCTAGCTGCCAACCAGATTAAGAAGGTCAAGTGTAACAGCATCATTTATCTTAAAACGCTTATCTTCCATACTAACCTAGATTACCTACAGAAAAGCCATCTTCTGGCACTCGATTTTCCTGTTATTAATCTCATTGGCTCAGTGAGATGTGTAAGTAACAGGAGTACACGAGTGACGGGTTTCTCCAAAAGCTTTTCTGTAGTCCTGACCTGCGTGGAAACAGGTTCTACTGAAGCATGTGCAAAGGTATCCTCTCCAGGTTTTGCTCCACGGAATAGACACAAGAGCTGCAGTGACGGTGCATCCTGGTGCTGAACCATGTTCTCTTCTCCAGGAGATATCTGTCCATTCGTGTTTACAGGCTTCTGTGATGGGCAGGGAAGACAGCTGCAAAAGGAGAAATGGGGTGGAATGGTTCTTTTCTAAGCTTGTGGCTAAACCTAAGGGTCTTAGGCTTGGCTGACACCATATGGGGTGGATGGGTGGGGCTGTCTTGAGATGGGGTACTCTGGCTGCGTCCAGACCTGGGATGCTCACAGCCTCATTGCCCTTTTTGATCTCTCTGCAGCCATCTTCTTACAAGTTTTTTCCTCCCACATGTTTCAATCATAGTTAGCTTGGATTTCTGGCTATCTTCTAACTTTTAACAAAAACAGTATTCTATTCCATGTCAGGAGGTGGTTTAATGGCTGCCTTGTGGATCTTGTTTGCTGTGAATCCCTGTCTTTTTCCATCACTCCCCAGCAGCTGTAGAGTGAGGGCGGCATCTGGAGGAGAAGCTCAAGCTGATGTGGGATGTGAGTACCTGTGTGCACAGCTGTGCCTTAGCATGGTTTTCTGCCCTCTCCTCTTCTGACAGTTTTTGATTGGATTCCTGGAGTGGTAAATTGCTTAGAAAATTGAAAATGTTTTCTAACAGAGAGGGGAAAAGCAAGAATGAGAAAAGACAAAACTGCAACTCAAAGTCTGGAGCTTATTGGGGCAGCAGTGGTCAACAGAAAGGGGCCTGAATCCACAGGCCTTTGTTATACAGAGTGGGGACACGGGAAGAAAGCATGACAGTTACCTGGAATGCAGTAAGAAGAACCGCTTGCTCTACCCTAAGTTTAGAGCTCAGTGTCAAGGGTAGGAGATGAGAGCAGGAAGGAGGTGTATGTCACCAAGAGCCTGTGATTATACAGCACAAAATGGGCGGGCAAGTAAAATGTCCACTAGTAGACTTTTTTTCTTTTTTAAAGGGGAAGATATGTTAAGATAGTTCTAGGTCTTCTGTTAAAGACAGGCCACTTTCCTTTTCAAAGGCTGCAGGTGGACTGAAAAAGAGAATGAGAATGGGTGACTTGTCTGTGCTTCCCATGTGTTCCCTACTCTGGCATTCTCCTGCTTGTTCAAGGTGTGTGTGGGGGGCCCCAGGCTTTTGCTAGGTGGACTCTGCTGGGCTCCCATTCCTGCTTCCTTCCAAAGTTTCTCCTCTTCTGCACACAACCCCCCACCCCCACTTGATGATCTTAGGGCCTTAAATTTTACTCATTGTACTACTATTTCCAGTGCAGATTAACTTTTAAAAAAGGTTTGTTTTTCTGTATATACATGTGAGCTGGCATGAGGCTGTGTGCACCACATTCGTGCAGGAACTGACAGAGGACAGAAGAGGGCACTATATCCCCTGGAACTGAAATTACAGCTGGTTGTGAACTGTCATGTGGGTGCTGGGAACTGAACCCCAGTCCTCTGTAAAAAGGAACAGTAAGCACTCTTGACTGCTGAGCCATCTCTCTAGCCCAAGATTTACTTTTAATTACATATATACTGTGTTTCTGTGTGTGGAACTGTGCATGTGACTGCAGGTGCCTAGGAGGCTAAGAGGTCACTGGGTCCCCTGAAGCTGGAGTTACAGGTGGTTATGAGCAGCATGACATGGGTGCTGGGAACCACACTGTGGTTCTCTGCAAGAACAGATGTTCTCCTAACTGCTGAAGCAGCTCTGCACAACTTCCAAGATTCAACTTAAAATGCCCTTCAGACATCTGGTGACAACAGGAACTGACTGTAATAGCTCACCCCATCTGAAGTTCCATGAGACTAGGATGTTTTCAGACTCTCAACCCTCATAGAGGAAAGCAAGCACTACATATTATCATCTCCCTGGTGGGCATGGCATGACCACCCTAGGACGCAGACCTGAGGCTCAGAGGTACTAAAGGCAGACTTCATTCTCTCCCTGGGTCATGGTCCTGCAGATGAGCAAAAGGCAGTGCAACTGTGTGAAGTAATGCAAGTAAAGAGACCAGCCCTGAAAGTCCAGCATGTGTAAGAGAAGGAGCTGTCTTTTCAGATAAGCTTTTGTGAACAGACAATGTCGGACTATGCTTTTATGCCCAAGTAACCTTTAGCTGTGGTACTGCTCTCATGTGAAGTGCGCTGGCAGCTCCTTGCTCATCTCACCCACTACACTGGCGCTCTTGGATCCAGGCCACAGAATGAAATACGAGAGAGAGAGAGAGAGAGAGAGAGAGAGAGAGAGAGAGAAAGAGAGAGAGAATGAATGAGAATGCTGCTGGCCTGCTGTCTACTCTGGCACGGCAGGCTTATTTAAAGAGAACTTGAAAAGAGAAACCAACGGCCAGAAAAGAAGTGAGTGCTAGCCATGACCAGAGCAACGGTGATGAGAGATCCACTCCTGACCTCAACTCTTCCTTCAGTTACCCTCAGCCACACTTTCAGGATCACAGTCTTTTGGTGCTTCTCTGGTCAAGTCGCTATCAATTTCCCATAGGACGTCATCTTCCTCCTCCTCTAAGTTGCTGGAGATGTGGCACTTTCTGAACCCCTGGACAATCGATTCACTTGAGATGCTGTTCCATGCAACCATGACCCACTCCAGGAAGAGCCCCAGGGGTGGCTTCTTAGCATTTCCAGTGGGGCTCAGTGCCAAGTTCCCCGCCAGAAGCCAGTTGGAATACTGGGCCCGGACACTGTCATTCAGAGGCTTGTAGACCACCATGTCCAGCACCTGCAGCTGGGAGGTCAGGCCCCCCGGGATGATCACCATGTCTGTATTCATGCTTTCCATGGAGCTCTTCACGGAGTCAGTGGCATGACACCGGAAGCCATTCAGGATCAGCATTCCTCGTTGTCTGGGCACAGCTCCAGTTCTACGTCTCCACACAACTTCTAACCAGTCTTGCATCAAGTCCTCAGTCATCCACCCATATCGGTGGCAGCGGATTTCCATGCCACTGGGGAACTTCCCAGGGGGGATGTATGTCCCCCTCAAAATGATATATGGGGGTAACTTCCTCCCATCAGCCAAGACACCCAGCATGGCTGTGATCTTCAATTTCTCCCTACCTGGTGTCTTAACCAAGACAGGCTTTTCACCCTGGTTGTCAACAGTCACTCTAGAGGGCACTTCTAAGCAGATGGGTGTCTCATCCGCATTGCCCATCTGGGCCACTTCGTAGTCATGTGTCCGGCGCAGAGTCAGCACACTCTGCTGGTAAGTGAAGAGCTTCTCAGTCAGGTCCTCGGCCAGGTGCTGGGGAACTGGCACTTTATGCCTCAGCGATAGGTCATACCTTCTCATCATTCTTCTACACCAGCCCAGACTTGCCTTGAACCCTTTCTCTGGAATGTTCATTTCCTGGGCAATTTCAAGAGCTTTCAACTGCATTGCCTCCCTGGTGATGGGATCCCCTTTGGCCTGCATGTATCTGACGTACTCGGCCACACGCTGGTCCACCAGAGCAAACCTCCCATTCTTGGGGCCTCGGAATGCCCGCCGCATGGCATGGGCATTTTGGAGCTGTGGCTTCACTTTTCGCCAGTCTCGAACGTTTTTTTCTAATACTCCAAACTGCTTGGCAGCCTGACAGTTGTTAGTGCTCTCAGCATACTCTACCACCATCAACTTGAACCCTGCATCATAACTGCGACGCATGCCCCGACTGAACTGAAACCGGCTAGCTAAGTCATCAGCCGAGAGGTCATACCCTGGGAAGCCCAGGGCCATGTAGAAGGGGTACCCCTCACTCCACTCAGACAGTTCAGTGATGTCCCGAGTCAGATGCCAAAAGCTGGTGAAGTGCTGAGGTTGAGGGAAATAGGTGGTGGTATTCACTGGGCTTGCCCATTGTGGAGTCGTAAAGTCAGATTCTTCATTTTCTAGAAGACAAATAAGGAGGGACAAAAATAGTACCAGTATGTAAAATGGTTTATTCATAGATTTGGGGAGGTCATAATGTTTAATCTGGAGCTCATCAAAAGTGAACCCAAAGTTTAACAAATAATACAGCCTAAGTCCTTATCTCTGTCCCATTACCATGGATACTGTGTGTAGCAGAGGACCTTTGCAGTTGAGCAAAAAGACCACAGATACTATGAAATATCAAGGTCACCAAGCTAGGCAGTGACAAGAGAAATGAATACAGGTACTAAGCCTGGAGCAAATAATATCGGGGCCATGTCTGGATGAAAACAATGTTTATGTGTGGGCCTGGTGGTGTAGATCTGTAATCCCAGCTATTTGGGAGGCAAAGGCAGGAGGATCACAAGCTCAATGCTACACTGGGCTACACTGTCTCAAAATATAAAGGGGAAAAAAAAGACAACTGGGGTAGAGTTTGCTTAGCATGTCATGGCCCTAGGTCGATCCCCACTCCCATACCACCAGCATCACCCAATGTTTATGTGGATGGGAAACCAAATGTATCCATACTACTACCTAATATTATAAAAATCTGGAAGCACTGTGCAAGCGCTAAGTCATAGCCCTTTAACTGAACTGAACCAGACCAAAATAAAACAATAAAAACAAATCTATGGCAAAACCCGTGTCAGCAAAATTAAGCCTATAATGCAGACACCTGGTTCCTGCACAGCAAAGATGAAGCTGTTTCATCGTACATTTGCATCTGGAAGGCAGTCACAGGAAACATGGTTTATGGTGATTACTGCATCTTCCAAACAGAAAGGCCACTGGCTATAAAATGCACTATTATGTATCATGAAAAAAATAGCTCTCACATGCCATTCATTTTAAGAGGCATTCTTAATTGCAATGTTAGTAAAACAAAAAGGAAAGCATGTTGTGGAATCTGTGAAATATAGCATTTTAAACCCAACCATAGAGAACAGCAAATATATTTTGGTAGTCTCAAAACTATGATACACATATACATGTAAGTGTAAGTATGTAGGTGTATGTGGGTGCACTTACACACATACTTTTTTTTTTTCCTTCAAGATAGTCTCATGTGGCTCAGGCTGGCTAAGGATGACCTTGAACTTCAGATCCTCCTGCCTCTACCTCCCAAGTGTTGGGATTAAATGTGTTTTTCCAACCATTTCTTTTGATAAATTAGGTACTTCTTAGAAATAACTATTCAAATGTATACTATAGCTGTTAGTGCCTTTCCTACCCAGAATGGAAGAGAAAGCCCAGAGTAAATCAATCTACACATGTGCTTGGCCTTTCCTCTCATTATGCCTAATTTGTAGAGGCATGTGGCATGGCACCAAAGTAGCCATGCTCTTTCAGGTGTGGACCAAATGCTGTATCAGCCTCAGTTCACTTCATCCACACACCAGGTTGCACATCAAAGTGTAAACTCACGACCAATAATGAAGAAATGGAGGCCTAGGAGAAAGACGTTACCCCAAGTCAATACAGTACTAGAAAGGGGGATCTTTACATTCCAAAGCCTACACATAATCTTTGTGCCTCACTCCTAAATAATCTACAGAATACACATGGAAACTGAAAACCCAGCTTGTTATCCTTGGGTGTATGCTGAACTGGTTCACTCATTACCTGTCAAGGTTACTCCCTGGAGCCGCCACTCATCAGAATTAGGATACTCCTCTTCCCTTTCCAACCGACTGATCAGGTCTGGCTTAGGGAATGGGAATTCTGTTCATAAGAAATAAAGCAGGGAAACAGCTGTGTTTTACCGAGTAAGAAACACCTTCACCCCCCACTGTAGAAGATGGGAACAGAGCGTGGTGATACTTAAAAGACATTAAGGATGAAAGCAGTCTGTCCGGGCATTCCTGGATCTCTGCTAATGGAGCTGGACTAGCAACAGCCATGCAGTGACTAGCAGAGAGGTAGATGGATAAAGCCATTGAAACAATCAGTAGTATTTCAGAACCCAACTGATCAAAACTGGAAAAGTCTCCAAAATGGTTATACTCTGAGAAAAAGGGATGATGTCAGTGTGTGTATTTTGGGGAGTACTGTTGGATGTATGCCCAAGTGTCTGAGGCTGGTAGGACAACAAAGCTTTCCTTCTCAAGGATCAAGAAAACAAAGGCCTAGATCTATGATGGCATTTTGAAGGCTACACTTTTTTTTAAGTAATGGGAACACTGGGTCTAATGAGGACTGTTCTAAGAGGTAATACAAGTTTCCAAATAGAAGGGCGTAATCTGTATGTTTTGTCCAAATCAAAACCAGGAAATGAAGCTGGCACAGGCACAGGGAGGGAAGTCCCATTCAGATGAGGAGACTGGACGTAGCCAAGAAGACAGAGACAGTGATACAGTTCTCTGAGCCCAGAGCTTCCCAGAGACAAAGGAAAACAAAGCATTACCCAGGGACAAGACAGTCTCATAATTCATTTTCATGACTTCCCGGTAGAGGGCTTTTTGTTGCTCTGTCAAAACTTCCCACTCCTCATCCGAAAAATATATGGCCACCTCCTCAAATAGGGCTGGTACCTGGAACACAAAGAGTACTTTCTCAATGACTGGTATGTACATGCACACAGATGTTCACATCTGCTGAGCTTTGACAGACAAGTGGGTAGAGCACAGCTGTGGGCCCCGTGGGCCCTGGCCCCCAACTGTGAGTGGCTTGCTGACCTTGACCAGATGTCCTCCCTATTCAGATTCCCTGCCAGTATCCACCCTTCTGAATGCTTAAGGGAAGTTCCTTGTTTGTGTATCCTGCACATTGGGCGTTAACTACTTAGATGCAAGAATGTAGAACATTGGGTCTGGAATGTAGACCATTGGTAGCAAACTTCTGCCCTCGGGGGTTCCTCCATTTGTGTTGTAAGCCTGTATTTAAGGTTTCTTCCCTTTCAATAAACGGCATTCGGCATTCAGTCGTGGCGAATGACTCGCTGTCTCGTCTCTATTTTTAATCCGCAGCCCTTCGCTCGGACATGGTGCACGGGTATCGGTAATGCGGGCGTTACCGCTACACACAACCTTTACTCTCACAGGTCAGGTCAGGGCTCTCACCCAGGGGGAATGGTCTGTCTATTCTCATTGCTCTTGGGAACGGGGTGTGTGCAGGCCCTCCTGAGTTCCACCACAGCAGCTGTCATCCTCAGGCTGGGGGACCCTGGGCATCATCTCCTCAGGTACTGCATGTTATCTGCTCACAGTTCACTTGGGACTTGAAAGTCAAGAACCAGCCACACCCCAAATAAGTACCCCCACGAAGATGTCATCCCAACCTACACCTCCCTATTTCCCAGCCAGAGCCCCTAAGCACAGGTGGCTGGATTTCAAGCTGAACAGGATTACTGCTTTCCATGGTATCTTTGTGGATCACACACTTTCCTCTTCTATCAGAGTCAACACTTCCTACTGCTGACTCAAGACCAAAGCTATCCTGAGGAGAGCCAGCCAGAGAAGGCACTTTATTAGGCCCTTCCAATCTATAGGAGCATAAGTAGCAGAGAAGGGCTAACTCGGGCTTCACTTACAGAATGAGATCCCAGCAAAATGGTGGGCATGTCTGCCAGGCTAGGCTCTCTGTTTCCTCCCCCACTCATCCATCCTTTTTCTGGATTCCAAAAGGAGGGAGTGCCTTCCTAGCTAAAGATGGCCAGCAACCAAAATCTTTTACTGCTCCAATGGATTTGCTTTTCTTTCTTCTGCATTTTCTTTTGTGGCCATTAAAAGTCCTACTCCAAAGCTCAAATTTAGTGTTAAGAAATCTCTAGTGAACTTATTTCAGGCTGCCCACTTTGCACTCTCCTTCAAACTTCTCAAAACTGTATCTGGGCTTGGGTGATCATACTGTCTCTCCTTAGCTTAGAAAAACCAGTATATGTATGGCCTGCAGCCTCTTCAGAGTCAAGCCGTCAATCACTCACACATCCTGGCCTTTCTTCCCTTGTTAACTAGGCCTACTTCCTATACTGCCACCTCCAAACTCTCTTCTATATGGGAACATTTACTAGGATAGGCCCTATACTGATTCCTGATCTCCCCCAATGATCTCACAGGAGAGCAAAGATATCCAGTTTAGCAAGGGCTGGGGGAATGGGCTCAGAGGATCCTCACATACACAAAAGACACACAGGCAACAGGGGCAAGGTTGAGATGTGGACCCAGCACTGTGTGAGTCCAAGGCTCTCACTAGAGAGGAGCAAGCTCTATCCCGAGTGACTTTCCACCGATGCTGCCGCTGTATTAACTGCTCATCGTTCCCTGATGCCTATATCCCTCTCTGCCCACTCTTCCCCTTGGCCCGAGGTCCTCTTCTTTCACACCCACCTGTCTGCCAAGACCCAGGCCAGGCAACACGAGTCTCCAGGCTGGATGCACACCTACACAACACCTTGATGTGTCATGCTCAACACTCTGGTGCCTTGTCACACCGTGCATTTGGTTTCATGGCTCTGCTCATCACTTTGATCTGACTTTGCTGAAAAGAGACTGTGCTGACTTTGTTTCCCTGAGCCTAGGATGCTCCTACAGCTCAGTGGTTCTCAACCTTCCTAACGCTGTGACCCTTTAATACAGTTCCCCATGCTGTGGTGACCACCAATGGTAAAATTATTTCATTGCTACTTCCTAACTGTTATTTTGCTATTGTTATGAACTGTAAATTTCTGATATGCAGGATGTCTGCAACCCCTGTGAAGGTTGACAACTACTGCTATAGCTGGTAGGCACATACCATGTATTACTGAATGAGCTATTGAGACAAATATATCACCTCTGGATTTCTCTTCTCTTGTCATACTTGGAACAGTTTTAAACGATTAAAATTTTATTTGCCAAAAAACCAAGTCAACTCTTTGGAGTAAAATTGAATAAAAATTCTTTACATGTGGAAGAGAAGGAGATAAAAATGGTGTGGTCCCTAGGTATTCCTCAGACTTCTTCATTCTGGAAACCAGGCAACTTAGAGAATTTCCAGTGTTTTCTATTCCTACTACCCAAGATTTTAAACAACTCTCTCTTTGGCCTTTCACTCACTTACAAGTTCCAGATCTAGGCCATAACTATTTATAATCTCCTTCTGTTCACTGACAGAAGAAGGCAGGCCTAGTTATTTCAATCCCTGCAGAGCAGGTAACACATTCTAGACCTGGATAAATGTTGACTTTCAAGAGCTGGCGTGGGGACTCATCCTCTCCTAATTATCACGTGGCTAGAGGATCTTCAAACAAGTCCACAACATGCACCCCACCCCAGGCACAACAGAGAGGCTTAGAAAGTCTTCCCAGAGCCCTGTGAAGACGGGCAAGACTTTGAGCCCTGCTAAGCAGACCTTTGATTTGATCTAAGACAACAGAAGGTAAACAGTGCTGGTTCTAGTTAAAACTGAGAAGCCAGGCAGTCAGTCTGCAGGCAGTTCAAGCTTCAGTCACCCTTCCTTGGCCTAACAGGTAAGAACCTGCAATTCCTGTCCTTCCTCTCTCACATGATTAAGGGCTCATCGGAGAAGTGTTCTTTAGCTTGTGTGAACTGCCTAATTCATCTGGGAAGCTGGCATTCCCATACTTACCTCCAAGGGTAACTGTTTTGTAAAGCACTTCACACTTGGAGGCCTACTACATAATAGGCATCTGAGGGGAGTTGGCATCTCTGCATCAATGGAGCCCCTGCTGGGTCAGGCACTGCCTGGGGTATTTCCATGCACATAAACATATTATCTCTTTGAATTATTTAAGCTATGGATATGGGGATTGCTACTCAACTTTTATGGTTAAGGAAATAGTGGCTAAGTAGCTTGGCTGAATTCACACAGCTACAGTCTGATTCCAAAGCTAGTGTTGTCTCAGGCTACTCTGGCCTTACCAAGGTGACTATAGTATGAAATCCTTCCCAGCTCTGCTCTACAGAGCCCTGTTAATGTAGGCTGACATAAGATTAATTCCTCAACGGGCTGTGGTGGCGCACGCCTTTAATCCCAGCACTCAGGAGGCTGAGGCAGGCAGATCTCTGTGAGTTCGAGGCCAGCCTGGGCTACAGAGTGAGTTCCAGGACAGGCTCCAAAGCTACACAGAGAAACCCTACCTCGAAAAAACCCAAACCAAACCAAACCAAACCAAACCAAACCAAACCAAACCAAACCAAACAAGACTCATTCCCTAGAGTTACTCAGGCCAGCTCTAACTGTGCAGTGCAGCACACCATGTCCCCTGACTTACCTTTTGCTATTGCCTGTCTCACACTTAAGGTTCCAGCTTCACGGGTATCTCAGCTCCACCCACAGCCTCTCTCTCCCAAGCCTTTGATCACGCTGTTCTCTTGCCTGGAGTGGAAGCTCTCTCCCTTCCCTTTCTTCATCCACTCAATATAAGACTCAGTTCAAAGTATATTTTTCTTTCTATTGAAACTGTATTTCTACTCCAATTCTACTAGAGAGCAAGCTTACATGTGAGTAGTTCTTATGAACCATCTTAATTATTATCAAAATATGCATTTAAAATACAGATTCTACGTTGTTCCTCTCCTAATTTAATGTGCTAGATCAGTGTCTCAACCACATACTACTGACACGGTGGACTACCCAGTTCCTTGTCGTATGCGCAGGGTACCTTCAACTGTACTGTAGATGCATTGGCTCGAACAGAGGATGCTAGCAGGGCCTCACACCCAACCTCTACTTTGGGTCACAACAACTAAAGTCATCTCCAACCTCTACTTTGGGTCACAACAACTAAAGTCATCTCCGTATACTGTATATGTTCCAGGGTAGGGAGGGGGCAGAACTGTCCACTGCTCAAGAGCAGGCTTTCTCCAGGAAGCACACTCTCAGGCCTGAATGAGATTCCCCGCTTTTGCATGTGAACTGACCCCCACTGCCCTGTCAGGCTCCTTTCCCTTCTGAGACTGGGGGCTCCATGAAGGCAGGGACTTGTCTTATAACATAGGGCAGTAGCTGTCAATGGGCAGCAGACTTCCTAGAGGTTACAGATGCCCAAATCCCAGTCCCACCTCTCAAGGGGCCAGGCTCCCTTCTCCAGCCTCCGGCCACTCTACTTACTCCCTTCTTTCTTTCCTGGGCCAGGCATGCTCCTCACCTGGCTTTTCTCATTTGCTCAACACAATCAGATATCTACTCTGACTGCACCCCATTTCCATACTGCTCCAGTCCATTTAGATATGCTGGGTTGTTCAACTTAGCCTCAGAATCCTGCTGCTTTGAGGTCTTCAAGCTGCCAGAACTGACCACCGCATGAGTCAGAACTGGGGAGGGACAGGGTGGACAAACATGAACGGGTAAAAGGCAGCACAGCTCCAGACCAGTAAGTCCAGAGCCTGGCGGTGCATGGACAGTTTACACTGAGACACAACACGCTCCACCTGGTAGGGATGCAGCTCAGGAAGTCAGTGTACACAAGGATCCGGGCAGCAAAGCAGACATCTTTTAGTACCTGAGGTTCTGCATTTGGAAGAAGGGTCTTTCTAGTTCTTTGCCTGCAGCTCTGTGTTCTACGATGAAGGGCTTCCCTTTTTATTGGGCACAAAGAATACTACGTACTGATGATACTGATAATGTTTATATGCAATTAAAAAAAACTAAGCAATGTCAATTTATTGCTTATCTAAAATGTTTACAGCTCATACTCAAATTTCCATGACTCCAGTAACTACTGCAAATAAATGTATGTATTAAGTACTGTTGCACTTACACTTGTGTGTCCCTTGGAGCTTAGCATTTCCACTTACACCTGGGGGACATGGAGCACTGGGTGTCACCTGTTATGCCTGAATTCTCCTCATGGTAACTCAATGACCCAAGTCTTACATACACTTGGTACCTACAATATCTATGATGATATTTCGTCAGGCACATGGGAAACGGGTGAATGAGTGTGACGAGAAGACAAGGTCTCAGTTTCTGAGACTTGTAGTCAGCTCGGCGGCCCGCCGTTTCCACCTCCACCTCCTCCCTCTGTTACTTGCACGGCCTTTTGAAGCCACAGGGCTGTTTTCTCAGGAATGTGAGCACATGAGACTGGGCTATTTTTACTTCCCAAGTCTGCCCTGGGAGGAGGCCTAGAGCAAGCCCGGCTCTCAGGCTGGATCCCACACCCTCTTACTTACCCATGCGCCTTTTGAATAAATTTGTACTTTCTGCATATCTAAGAGGGGGCCATCCTCCAATTCTCGGATCCGAATCTCCTTTGCTTCCTCTTCTTTCAGAGTCAAATTTAGAGGGTAGGCTGGGGACTCCATCTCTGCATGCAAGATTTAGCAGACATGTCAGGTGTCAGTGTGAACTCTCAGACCGTGAGAGGGTGCCTGGGGCGCACACAAACCTGCAAAGCATTACCTGCTTCCAGCCAGAAGGAAGGGATTCAGGGAAAGTGGCTTATTTCATTATTATTAGAGGGGCTGTGGGCAGATAATATACCTGGCTAGCTTCAAATATTTAAAAAGCTTTCTGTGGTTCAGAAACCGGGCTAGTTTTCAGAAACCATTTGTACAGATGGACGGAACCGAGAACAGCGGATGAGTATTCCAGCAAGAGGTTTCAAACAGTGCACTGACATTCGTAAGTTTCCCACTGCCAGTACCAACCGAACACCGAATCAGCGCCAGAGGAGAGCAGTGCTGATGTGCTACCAGGTCAAAGAGTCTGAGCCTAGACAGGACATTTGAATAGTTAGCAAAAGAAATACTTATCACCTGGATTTTTCAGATTCACAGGCGCTGTCCACACGCCAGTTCACAAACTTAACAGTCTTTCTTCCTTAGAGGACCTGCCAAAGCCAAGTCCGTGATACAGAGGGGTGTGCCTGGGTGGCGGAGGCCAACCCAGACCTGGCAGGATTCCTCCCCCCTCTGGGTCGCAAATTCTCTGTATATGAAGCCGCCTCAGGCCGGTACAAAGAGCTTCCCCTTAAAAGACTGCCGGCAACTGCTGGGTGTGTAGTGAGTGTGCATCTTGTGCGTCCCATTTTCCGGGACTTCCAAAGCAAAGATCTTCCTTCCCTCCCGGAGTTCGGAGTCAGCTTCTCCAATGTTTCCGGGGTGTGGGGTGTGGAGAGCGGCCTGGGGAAGTGGGAATGCCCGTGAGGTCCCAGGAGCCGGGGCCTGAAGTTGGCCGCGGCCTGCGCCCGGCGGCCGGGCGGGAGGTGGGAGGGGCCGG